GCGCTTTTCTCATGAGTCAGTCACGTTCGGGTGTAATACATGATATTTTTTTGAGGTTCATGATTGCTCTTTATCTTGCGTCGGTTTCTTGTGTCATCTACCCTCTCTCCTTCCTGTTTGTCTCTCTTCTCATTCCTCCTTTTGCATCATCGATTGAGTCGTCAGTGAAGAAGCATTTGGTTCTGCTAAGGTGTCATTGACAACCTCTACCACACAACAAACCAAGCAGCGGAAAAATGATTGTATCTTCCCCCAGAAGGTGGCAAGAAACATTTGTGACTGTTCCTCGTAGTGACGGAAGAACCTTTCCAGATTGTGTGGGAATATGCACTCCTCTGTTTTTTGTTTGTGGCGTGGCTGGTGCCAAGGTTCACACTGAGGCCTGGGGTCCCACCACCGGTAGCAGTGTTGAGTTTCCTCAACGCCTGAATCTGGTCGTGTTTGTGGAGACTTGCAGAAATGGCATTGAGTTTCCTCAACCTCACATCTCCACAAACATGTCCAAATTCAGGCTTTGAGGACACTGCATGCTGCTAGTGGGACTTGGCCCCTGATGCTGTTACTCTACATGCGAACTTTGCAAATCCTTGGGCACTGGGCCCGTTATGTGAAAAAGAAGTTTGGAAAAAAAAAAGGGAAAATTTTCGAAATGCCCCTGAAGTTTGTGTTTATTTGCGTTTTGCCCCTCCGACGACGACTTACCCTGATTTGCCCCTGGGGCCTTTGAACTTTCGTGCAGGCTCCTGTTTGTGAGAGGTGCAACTTTTGGGAATGCCCCTACCGGACTGCCGGTCCCATTTCCCGTGGTGGCTGTTCGATTTGCCCTTTGGCGATGGATGAATCTTCCCGGGATGCCCTCCAACGGGGAGGCCCTAAGAATTCAAATTCAAACTCCTTGCTTTCCAGGCCGCCGCCGCGCAGAAAAACAGCACTCCACTCCACGTTCTGTAATCCACTGCTGCAATCCACCGTGGAGTTCATTCTCCTGCTACTGCGACCTGCCACCGCCTTGGATGTCCTCGGAGTACGTTGCCGAAGGTGAGTGTTCCTCCCCTTCTTCCACGCCTCTCTCTCTCTCTCTCTCTCTCTCTCTCTCTCT